GGACTGCACAGGAAACAGGCAGCGAGCTGACGACGCTGTGCTCAGCAGCGGCCTCGCCCACGGTGGAAATGCAGCGAGCAGGTGCTGCGCCAGCGCGAGGCGCTGCTGCAACAGGACGATCGAGTGCAGCCTGGAGTGGCACTGGGTGCGGGCACCATCCCTGTCCCGACACCAGCCCTGCACGGGGCTCCCGCATCACAACCTCCCAGGAGAGGCAGTGAGGCTGGACGGGAGCCCCAGCGACAGCCAGGCCTGCTTCTCCTCCGACTGGCCCGTGAGCACTGGCACAGTGGTCCAGGGCACAAGAGACCGGGGACGGGGGTGGGGAGGGGAGCCACACGGGACAGACAGGGAAACCAAGGTCTGAGACAGAGCCCCAGGGGCACGTCCAGCAGACGTCCGGGACTACAGGCCAGATGCACCAGGGCTCTGCCGAGGGGTCAGCCTGGAGTCGTCAGGGGCGAAGCCATGGACAGAAGATAGCAACAAGGGCCCACAGAGACCAGGAGTGACCCAGTTTGGCAGGAGGAAGCAAGGGCGAGGGAAGAACAGGGGACTGAGGGAAGGGAGGATGAGGGCTGAGGTCTAGGGAGGAGGGGGACTGAGGTCTGAGGAGGACGGGGGCTGAGGTCTAGGGAGGAGGGGGACTGAGGTCTGAGGAGGAGGGGGACTGAGGTCTAGGGAGGAGGGGGACTGAGGTCTAGGGAGGAGGGGGACTGAGGTCTAGGGAGAACGGGGACTGAGGTCTAGGGAGGAGGAGGACTGAGGTCTAGGGAGGAGGGGGACTGAGGTCTAAGGAGGAGGGGGACTGAGGTCTAGGGAGGAGGGGGACTGAGATCTAGGGAGGACGGGGACTGAGGTCTAGGGAGGAGGGGGACTGAGGTCTAAGGAGGAGGGGGACTGAGGTCTGAGGAGGAGGGGGACCTGGCGCTCTAACGCCCCTCTGGTCACGAGCATTGCCATCCGTGGCAGAAGGATCCGTGTCCTCGGTTTAAGAACTAGGACACCCGAGGTCTCCCGGCAACAGACTGAGGCTGGAGTCCATGCTGCTGGTCAGGGTTGTGGGATCAGCACTGGACAGGGATCCAACAGGCTCTGCTCCAAGGAGACGGCAAGGCATTGCCAACGACCACAAGGGCGATCACAAAAACAGGCACTGACTACTAAAATTCACTTTCCGGCAAATTAATTCCTGAAAGCAGAGCCTTCTTCAGGGGACCAGTAAGTAGGCAAGCAGCCATCAGCAGAGCACACTAGAATTAGACGTCAACAGGCCTGGGACAAGCCCGAGGCAGGAGCTAGGGCTTGGGCCCCATCTCTGACGAGCCTACCGCGAGCCTGGCGAGGCGAGTCCAACCTCCCACAGCAGGGAGAGGGGATGTGAGCCTGGGCTCCCAAGTACCCCCAGCCCCAAGGAGTCCCTGGCGGGGCCCAGCGGGAACGGGCGGCACTGTCCTCACCTTGTTGGCCTGGATCAGGTGGAAGTTCTTCCCGTGCACTCGGAAGCCGTGCTCAAAGTTCCTGCACTCCTCCTCGCTCCACGCACAGAACCCATCTGCATCAGGAGGAAGGGCAGTGGCGTCAGCAGTGCCCAGGACAGGGCAGAAGGAAGGGGGGGAGCCAGACCACGTGCTCACCTCGGATCACCTTCACATTGAACCGCAGCCTCCGTAGGGCCTCCTCGATGTTAAAATTGCATTTCACCAGCTCATACAGTGCCTGCGGGGAAGCCACACTGACTCTTCCCACCAGCTCAGTCCAGGAGCAAGAGCAGGGGGCAGTTAAACCACCATCAGGGCAGGGATATCAGGGGTGTTCACACCACCATCAGGGCAGGGATATCGGGAGTGTCCACACCACCATCAGGGCAGGGATATCAGGGGTGTTTACACCACCATCAGGGCAGGGATATCGGGGGTGTCCACACCACCATCAGGGCAGGGATATCAGGGGTGTTTACACCACCATCAGGGCAGGGATATCGGGGGTGTCCACACCACCATCAGGGTGGGGATATCAGGAGTGTCCACACCATCTAAGCAGGGATATCGGGGTGTTCACACCACCATCAGGGCCAGGATACTGGGGGTGTTTACACGTCATGAGAAGCAGGACCCTATCACCATCATTTCCCCAGTGACAGTGGCTTCCTTCACATGGGCTGCTACACGACCACATTAGCCCCGACTGGGCTGGAGCCTCATGGCAGGTCCCCTGCCCCTCCACCCACTGTGGCCTCTTCACTCTCCACACCGCTCCTGCCTGACAACCCCCAATCCTGCCCCTGCCTGGTCCCTGGAAGCGTGTGAGGTGTCAACCTCTGGCTCAGAGCAGTACAGTGCCAAGACCCCAGCACCCCCAACATGGCAGCCCCACCTGCTCGCTGTCTTTCACGGCTTCTCCCTCCGGGAGCTGAGACCCCGCCATCTCGTGCCACCTCCGTTTCACCGCCCGGTACAGGAACTCCTCCACCTCTCTCTCGGGGAGGACATTGGGGTCCCAGAGCAGCTGGTCTTCATTCTCATAGACTGTGCAGAAGAGCAGGGTCACGTCGCAGGCACGCAGGCCCCACCCACACCTCCCGAAGCACAAGTTCCCTCCTGTTTCTTTGAAAGCACCCTCCAGGGCAGGCTGTCCAACACCTCCAGAGGACAGATGCTAATTTGTTGGTCCCGGTTCTTGTGGCCTGGGCCCATCCCCTCTGTGTCCCTCCAGGGCTGGCTCTGGGAACCCAGACGGAGGCCAGGAGGTCACTAGGCCCAGGGTGGTGGGGTAATGTCACAGGCAAGAAGCCAGGGGAAGTCAGTGGGGCACTGACCCGCCAGGGAATCAAGGCAGCCTCCTGGAGGAAGCAGCAAGTAGCCTAGACTTCTGAGCGTGGCCACTGGGGAGAGGGTTGTAGGTAACAAGTTCAGAGAGGTGAACCGGCTTGAGTGAGGCGAGCAATGGAGAGCAGAGGCCTAAGGGAGCACCACGGGGAGCCCAGACTTGATAACGGCAGTGAGACCAGGTCCCAGGAGTCTGGTTCAGGCAAGAGCTCCTACTGTTGCCATGCCTGCTCCAAGCGCGGCCTCACACAGCCACGTGAGGGTGCTTTGCGGAGGGGAGGCAGGTCCTGCCACCGCAGGGAGTGGGGGCAGACGCAGAAGGGAGGCTGAGAAGTGGACTTTGGCCATGGTCAGCTTTCAGGGGCAGCCTCCAGCGGGGGGAGGGACATGGTGGGGAAGAGGCAGAAGAGAGAGTGCAGGGGCAGGTCTGGGAAGGCCCGAGTGGCAGCACCTCTCACTTACGCAGGAAGAGTCACAGGGACCCAAAACTAAACAAAACAAATGAACAAGAAACCCAGCGTGATGGCCGAAAAGTGAAAAACACACTCAGGAAAATGGCCCCATGTTGCAATCTCTCTCCTATTGGGGAACTGACCGGGAGCCCACAACTCCTGGGATGGCCGTGACCACAGGAGCAGCAGCCTCTCCCAGTGCCCACAGCCCCTGTGGGGCGTGCGGCCAGCTCCCCCATCTCCACAGTCGACGCCAAGTCCCAGACGGGACCGGGGTGGTCAGCCGGAAGGAGAGCAGGCCCCTCTCCGGAGTGAAACGGCACCCCCTGCGCCCTCAGCACTGTGTCTACCTGGCCTGGAACACGGGAGGAGGACCACAGAGAGCGGGGCATCAGAGCAGAGACTTGACTTTAAAATAACTATGACTAACGTGTTAGGAAAAGGACAAAACAGACGGAAGGCTGGAGAACTTCAGCCAAGAACTGAAATCCACACAAAAGAATCACAGGGATGTCCTAGGACTGGAGAACACGACACGTGGACTTACGAGCCCCCTAGAGAGCTTTCACTACAGCCTGGACAGAGCGGAAGGGGTGCCGAGTGAAATCAGAGACTTCAACAACCACAAGAGGAAATCACACCGAAGCTTGGGGAGAAGACAGCTGAGGAGACGTTTACGAGTCGAGCCCTGACAGACATTTTGGTATCCTACTTTCATAAGATCAAAATTCTTTGCAAACATAAATTTTAATAGCTAAATAATATTTCCTCAGATGTTAGAATGCATTTACTTGGTCCTTTATTATCGTGGTAATTTTTACTTCTAGCAATTTTAAAATGACTCTGACATACGCAGCATTCTAAAGATGTAATTTCATGAACAATTGATAAAAAGAATTTAGGGGTAAACAATTTTTAATTTTGTCCATGTATAATGCTGAAACCAAGGTGAAACATTTGAACGTGGTAGGTCATGAGAAACTTCACATGTTATACAAGAGTGAAGTAATATTCATAACGTTAAACTGCCACCCTGATAAAAAATATATCAAATTATTTAAAAAAAAAAAAAAGAGTCGAGTGCCTGAGAAACGTGGACGTGAGTCCCAAAGGAAGCGGGCAGAGAATGAGGCCCAGGCAAGTCCGAAGAAAGAATGGTCAAGAATTCTCCAAAACCAATGAATGACATCAACCCACAGGTCCAGGAAATTCAGGATAAATACAGAGAAAACCACACCTACGCATATCATCATCAAAATGCTACGAGAGAAAAGAAAAGTGTTACAAGCATACAGGGAAAAAGCAAACGGTGATTTCAAAGGAAACCCTAAGACTGACACCTGAATTTTCACAGCAACAACGGGCGCCAAAGACACCAGAAGGAAACCGTCCAAGTGCTGAAAGAATCTAGAAACCTACACCGTGAAGACACTGTCCGCAACATTAAAGCAAAGTTAAGACTTTCCGGACAAACAAGACCTGCAGGAATTCATCACCGTCAGGCCGGCACGAGGAACATCAAAAAGGAACTCTTCAGGCTCAAGGACATGATCCCCAACGGAAGCTGGAGGAGCGACCAGCCCGTGAAGGGAGCTGAGGATAAACACAAAGAACGCTCCCTGCCTACCCCACGCGCCGTGCGCTGTGATGTGTGAGGCGCCAGGAGTGACGGGCAGAGGCGGGAGGGGCGAGTTACACGGTTCAGGGTTCTTGAACTGAAGGGGACGCACACCGTGCTTATTGAAAGAAAACCAGCGTAATTGCTAAAAAGTAACATGAAAATTAAAACTTCATTATGAGCTCAAAGAGAAGGAAAAAACAGAATAAGACTATTCGATGAATCAAAAAGAAAACAAGCAAAAGCAGAGGAACAGAGAAGAGAGGGAACAGGTGAGAACAGCGAGAAAGCAGACTCGAACCCAGCTGTTTCCACAATCACATGAAAAGCAAGCAGTCCAAGACATGCGTGGACTAAATGCTCGATCAAAACACAAAAGACTAGGGGCCGGCCTGGTGGTGTAGCAGTGAAGTTCACACACCCTGCTTCGGCAGTCCGGGGTTCGCCAGTTCAGATCCCGAGCACAGGCCCACGCACCGCTTACAAAGCCACACTGTGGCACGTGTCCCACATATAATATAGAGGCACAGATGTTCGCTCAGGGCCAGTCTCCCTCAGCAAAAAGAGGAAGATTGCTGACAGACGTTAGATCAGGGCTAATCTTCCTTAGCAAAAAAACAAAGAAGAAGAAGAAGAAGACAAAAAGACTATCTGACTGGATAAAAAATTAGGTGCAAAAGTGTGCCATTTACCGAAAATACACCCAAAACAGAAGAACAAGAAAAGGCAGAAAAAATAAACCACGCAAACACTAAACTAGCAACAGCACACAGAGCATTTACCAACACAGACTGCATACGGGCGACAAGCAGGGCTCAACTAAGTTCCACAGATGAAATCAGAGTGTGTTCTGACCACAGTGGAATTCAACAAAACACCAGTAACAGAGGACGACTGGAAAATCCCCAACACCTGGAAATTAAACAGAACGCTTCTGAATCACCACGGGTCAGAGAAGACGTTGCAATGAGCTGGAGAATCACAAATCAAAATGAAATAAAACAGAAGGAAAGAAAGAAAGATAAAGGTGAAAATTAAATAGAAATCAGTCAACAGAGAAAAATCATTCAACCAAAGGTGGCTCCCAGTCAAGGGTAATATCATTAATAAACCCCTAACGGGACAAACCAACGGAAGGAGGGGGAAAAGGCAAACTACCAGCATCGGGACTCGAAGGGGCCACCACGGCGATGCCACGCACAGTTAGAAGGCACGAGGAGCGTGTTGTGAACTTCCTGCCAACAAAGTTAACAATTTAGGCAAATGTGATAAACTCCTCAAAAACACCACTTATCAAAACAAACAGAAACTAAATAGAACTGCATATGCCAAACAAACTGAATTAAAAACCTTCCACGAAAACAAAACTAAACCCCAAGTCCAGACAGCTTCACTGAAGAAGCTTCCCAACATCTAAAGAGGAAACAGTAACGATCTTACACACGTTCCTCCAGAAGGCAGAAAAAAGCACTCCCCAACACACTTCACGGGAGCAGCAGAACCCTGATCCCGAGGCCCGAGAAGGACAAAAACGAAGTAAAATGATAGGCGGTGTCTCCACAGACATACACGCCCAAATCCTACACATCAGCGACTCACGTGAAGGAAGGAAGACTGCTACATGTGCATCCTTGCTATTCGCTGTGGCAACGCTCTGTGAAGTCCCTGCGAACCCTCAAGGGTCAAAGGTCAAGGGGCAGGGTCACACTGTCCTGGAGGAAACACAGAAGCAGGTTCCTGAGAGCCTCAGGCCAGAGCACGTGCATCAGCCGACCACACACAGCCTTCCTCACGTGGGTCTCTGTTTACAGACATCTTGTTTCATGCACATCGTTGACTCATGGACAAGAGCTCACAGCCAGCAATACTGTAGCTCACACCAGCTGTACCTCACACCTGCTGTAGCTCACACCTGCTGTACCTCACACCTGCTGTAGCTCACACCTGCTCTACCTCACACCTGCTGTACCTCACTCACACCTGCTGTAGCTCACACCTGCTGTAGCACACACCTGCTGTAGCTCACACCTACTGTAACTCACATCAGCTATAACTCACACCTGATGGAGCACATCTCACACACCATCTCCTCCAAAGGCACACGGCAGCCTTCTCACACTCAGGAACACGGACAGCACCTCAGCAGTACACCTGGGGGCCATTTTAAAGAGGAAGATCAGCCACAAACAATACAAAAATGTGAAAAAAGGCATGAAATATTAAAAAAAAACACACGTTTACAGCCTGAGAGCTGAAAAGGCAGAGCGTCTACTTGTTTGACCCCAGCTGGGAACGTGCGCAGTGGGCGACTCAGCCTCGTCACTGCTCTGCACACGTGCGTGTCCGCCAACGACCGTGAGAGTGCCACAGGTTCTCACTGTGGAGCTACAAATCCACAGAACCCACAAACGGTGAGGGCTGGCTGCACTCCCACGGCACAGAGCGTATTTCATGACCTGGTGGCGTCCATTCCAGAAAGCAAGGCTGGTTTTAATGCCTAAAACCCATCAATATAATGAGCTATATTAGCAGACTGAAAGAAAAAATAACCATCTCAATAGACGCAGAAAAAGTATTTGACAAAATTCAACACTCATTCATGGCAAAAACTGTCAGCCACTAAGCACAGAGGGAACCTCCTCATCTGATAAAGGCCATCCACAAAACTCTTACAACCCGTTCACAATGGGGAAGAACTGAACGTTCTCCCCGAGTTTTGGAACAAGACAAAGACACCCTTGATCACCACTTCTTGCACTTCTGTACTGCGGGTCTAGCCAGGACAACAGGGCAGGAGAAAGGAAGGAAGGACACAAAGATTACAAAGAAAGTAAAGCTATCCTTCACAAATGACACGACTGCGTACATAAAAATACAAAAGAACTCACAAATATTAAAACCAATAATTGAATTTACCAAAGTCACTGTGTACGAAATCAATTAAAATAATAAATGACATTTCTACCAGCAAGAATCGAGTAAAAAATGAAATTTTAAAACATATTTTTCATAACAGCACCAACAGGTGTAATCCAGCACGCATGAGGCTGCCACACTGGAAACCCTACGAGGCGGCTCCACTGGAAGACGGAAGCATCTATACAATCCACGCAAGTCAACACACCAATCCACAGACTGGAAGTGTCCACACCGTTAACATACCGATTCTCCCCAAATCAATCCAAAGATTCGATGCAACTCTAATCAAAACCCTGCAGGCACTTCCAAGGCAACCGACAAGCGAACTTCAACACTTCTACGGACACACAGGACAGGAACCAAGTTGGAGCACTTGCACCATCTCGGACGTACCGCACAGCTGCAACTATAAGGCAGTGTGACAATGACCAGAGCTGACAGAGGCTCAGGCAGCCGCAGGTGTTCCCGACACACGATTTCTGACAAAGCACCACCATGAATCAGTGGGGAGAATGGGCTTCTCCACACACAGCGCTGAGGCACCGGCAGTCCACATGGGGAAAGACACGAACCCTGACGCATACCTCCAACCACACAATAAAATCAACTCAGGTCAGAGCAGAGCATCAGGGCAGCAAGGACACAAGGGACAGTGTCTCTGAGACCTGCAAGAAGTCCTCAACGAGCAGCGGGAATGAAGACTGACAAGCTGGACTCGATGACGTCAGACACACAGATGGGGAGCGAGCATAGGCCGCGCACGGAGCCCACAAAGGACCCGGACCAGACACAGAAAGGACTCCCACAGGTCAGCAGGAGAGACACACTGGGACAACAAGAAGATGCCTGGGCAGGCACGTCACCAGACCCGTCCAGCAGCCAGTCAACACATGACTATCACAGAAACGCCAAGTTGAGCCACAACAGACACCACTCCACACCCACTAAGGGCTAAAGTCACCAGGACAGACGCATCACACGCTGAGGAGGATGAAGAGCAGCCAGAGCTCCCACACTCCACTGGTGGGATCACCCAGCAGCGTCTACGGACCTGCACAGGCCTGACCCCCACTCCCAGCCGTCCCTCCAGGAACCAGTGCGTGTGTCCACTGAGACAGACAAGGACGTTCACAACCACGACTGCAAGCCACCGTCCCATCGACTCAGCAGAAGGGACGAGCCAACGTGGCACATCTACACGAGGGAACAGGACACAACGACACACAGGACACACTGCCACGTGACACACCTCATCTCTCAGGAGGGGCACGGAGACCAGCTCCCCTCCCCACGGCATCACGGACCGCACAGGCGTGGGCCCCTGAGGCTGCAGCCCAGGCGTGTGCACCGGCGCCTCTGACTCGGGGAGGGCCCTGTGTGTCGTCACACTCAGAGATTCATGTCCCCTGTCCTGTGACCCAGCTTAGCTGAACTTCTTGCCTCCCATCCTTTCCCCAAACTGCCTACAACCGAGCAAGCACATCCCCCAGCCCACGTCCATCTCTGGCCCCAGGGGGCCTGACTCTCTCTGAGGGTCCCTGACTCCCTTGTCCCATCCCACCCCTGATCCAGCTGCTGAACCATCCTGGAAAACCCCCTGAGCCAGGAGTGCCAGCCCAGGACCTGCAGGGGCTCTGAGGCAGGTGACCTCACATCCCATTCTCTTCACCTGTAAATGGAGGCAACAACTCCCATCTCAAAGAACAGAGGCCCGCTATGCATTCTGGCGGGACTGACAGACAGACATCGAGTCCAGGACGGAGTGCCCTAAAGAACAGAGCAGGGCAGAGGACACAGGTCTCCGGAGGACGTCTGGGACCAGCCCTGAACCAGATAAAGGAGCGACCGGTGGGCCAAGTGGGGAAGAGCGAGCACCCCAGAGAGAAGGCAGCAGCCCTGGGAGGGACAGAGGGAGGGAGCCGGAGAGGGGCGCCAGAGCCAAGGAGAGGGGAGGAGTGACAGCTGCACAGGGTGGCGGGAGCAGACCACCAAGCTGAGGGACAGTGAGCAGGGAGGGGCACCACTGGGTCCACAGGCAAGAAGGGCACGAGTTTCCCCACTTCCTCCCACACCAGCCTCGGCCCACTGGGTGCCCTGCGAGCTCAGGGAAGCACAGGCGGGCACCTGACCTGGGCTGGGCCCCTGGGATCCCCTCCGAGGATCTAGAAACTGGCTCTGGCTGGACGTGCAGCAAGGCCCTTCCCACGGGAGTGGGGTTTTCATCTCTCCTGCTCCCCATCCCCCGGGCCCCACTCACTCTTCTCTCCGTGGCGGTTCAAGTGCAGGCTGCTGAGGTCGGCTTGGAACTGAGGCCCAACCATGATCTCCTGCAAAGGCACAGGCCAGGAGTCAGTGTCGACCGGGGCCCAGCTGCAAGCGCTGAGAGGCCGCCGGCCGCTGTCTGAGCACAGTGTGGGGGCAGCCTGTGAACTCCGTCCACAGAGAGAGCCCAGTGGTCTTAAGGACGGGGGGGTCAGAGGCCTTGGTGTGTGTGGGCCTGTGAGTGACTGTATCTCCATCCATGTGTCCATCTGTCTGGTACAGCCAGTCACGTGGCAGGGGGGGTGGGGCCTGAGGACCCAGGTGTCCTGGCACCTGGCCCAGAGCCCCCAGGATGGCGCCTGGGGACACACAACCGGGCCAGCAACAGCGCGGACTACAGGGGCCAATACCGAGGTCGAGCCCAAGCCCAGCCCACCTCTCGAGAGCAGTGCACTCACCCTGCCACAGGATGGGGCGGAGGCCCACGCTGAGGGCACTGGGGGTCAGAGCCACGCACCTTCTTACATTTGTTGGCAGGAAGAGGGTCCTCCTCGGCGTCGGACGAGGTGGAGGAGCCAGGCTCTTTGTCTGCAGCAGCCAGGAAGCCAGCTTTGGGGAAGACGGAGCAGGTGAGGCCTGTCTGGGCACCAGGAGGCCCTCCAGGCCAGTGGACCCCCTGGGTCTCCAGCCCACTCTCCACCCACCTGACCCCAACGCTATACCCTTCCTGAGAAGTGGCATGACCCAAGCCCTGGCCAGACGACGGGTGCAAGATGGACACAGGAGCAGGGACTCAGAGGTCTCCTTCTGCCTCAGTCACTAAACCGCTGGCCCGAGCCTCCAGGCCCTCCCGCTGCCAGGCCGCAGAGGCCGCAGAGCCGAGGAGGATGGTCTCAGGACGCTGCCCCGGGTCTGACCGACTTTCAGCTACAGGAACCAACACATTCCCCCCTCGGGCAAACCAAAGCCCCCCAGTCTCAGATCACAGGCAGGGCAGGGGAGACGGGAACCCCAACAGAGCTCAGATGGAGCAAGGCACGCCCAGGGGCACCCGACACCCGTGCAGGAGTCCTCCCCCAGCCGCGGTGGGCACCACTAGAGGCCTGCTGGGCGGCCCAAGCGAAGGAGCACACAGGACACCTACACCCACTCTGGTCAGGGAAAAGGTCGGAGGCGTCGTGGGAGGTCACTGACGGAGTGAGGTCATCAGCTGAAGACTGCGTCTCTTCCTCTTCTTCCCCTGAAAGCAAATCCTTCGCTATCTGTTCCTTTTAACAAGAGAAGAAAAGACACGTTTAGAGCACACAATAACCATCACGGTGACGGCACAGACGCTCAGGGCCTCCCTCAGAGTGCTGAGGGCTCGGGCAGGGCTGTCCTACCCACTCTAGGGATGCAGAGACCAGGCCGCACATTGACCATGGCCACCTCAGTCCACACCACTGCGCTCCACGGAGGGACAGCGCCTGTGCCAGGACAGGTGGAGCCCCCGTGGCCGCCTCCTCTGCCTGGTGCGCAGTGTGCAGCTTTGGCGCAAGGCCCCCTCCCAACAGCGACCAGGACCGGAGGGCCGACAGGGAACCGGCTCACAGGTCCGTCTCCTCGCCAGCAGTGTTGCCCTGGGCAGCTCTCCACTCTGCCCCAGCTCCGGTCGGGGGTCAGGGTCTCAGTCCCACCCTCCCCGGGTGGGTGGCCAGGGCCTGCCGCACCGCCTGTGACTCCAGGAGTGGGAACAGGCGCTACGAGGCAGCCGCGGCCTCACACCACAGACGGCACTCCCACCAGTCCTGTCCTCCAGGATCCCCTCGCCGGTCTCGGGAGGGACCCCTCACCTTGTCCAGGGTCATGTCCGGGAGGTGGGCTGTGGCGTCGCTGCCCTCGCTCTCCTGCTCCGAGATGGGGTCTGACGCCTCGTAACCATAGAGGGCGAGCAGCTCGTCCAGCGGCATGTCACTGCTCTGCGGGGACAGGGCTCCGTGAGGGGTCTGTTCTTGGGGGACAGGGCTCCGTGAGGGGTCTGTTCTTGGGGGACAGGGCTCCGTGAGGGGTCTGTTCTTGGGGGACAGGGCTCCGTGAGGGGTCTGTTCTTGGGGGACAGGGCTCCGTGAGGGGTGCTGGTCTGGGGACAGGGCTCCGTGAGGGGGCTGTTCTTGGGGGACAGGGCTCCGTGAGGGGTCTGTTCTTGGGGGACAGGGCTCCGTGAGGGGTGCTGTTCTTGGGGGACAGGGCTCCGTGAGGGGGCTGTTCTTGGGGGACAGGGCTCCGTGAGGGGGCTGTTCTTGGGGGACAGAGCTCCATGAGGGGTGCTGGTCTGGGGACAGGGCTCCGTGAGGGGTCTGTTCTTGGGGGACAGGGCTCCGTGAGGGGTCTGTTCTTGGGGGACAGGGCTCCGTGAGGGGGCTGTTCTTGGGGGACAGGGCTCTGTGAGGGGTCTGTTCTTGGGGGACAGAGCTCCATGAGGGGTGCTGGTCTGGGGACAGGGCTCCGTGAGGAGGGCTGCCGGGTGCTCTCACTCCTCCTCCTTCCTGAACCCATCAGCTACCACCACCAGTGCCTTCATCATGCTCCAGCCACTCTCCCCAGCAGACCTCGGGCCCAGTCCTCCCTCCAGGGACCCCTCAGAAGCCTCAACGAGGCACACAGGAGACCCCTGAGCCCAGAGAGGTCAGTCACTGGCTCAAGGTCCTCAGCCCTTGAAGGGTGGAGCCTGGACCAGCCTCCCAGCCGACACCACACAGTCCAGCAATGCTTCCCTGCCCAGCCTGTGCTGAGTTCACTCCAGGACGGATGCCTGGTATCTGGACATCTACCACCACAACTCGCAACATCACAAATCAGAAGGAAAAATGTGACCAAAATGATAAAGGCAGAAAAGGGATCCAGTCACATCCTGCAAGCACCTCTGGTTTCAAAGAGCCTTCAAGAGACGCCATTTCATCCCGCGATGGAGACACTGCCGGCCCTCACTGGTGAGCGAGCCTGTCACCGTCAGGGGCACCGCGGCCTCTACCCCAGGGCCACCAGCCACGCTCCAGCCTGACCCCGTGGTCACTGTCCACTTCCAGCTCCCTGGCATTCCCTCCCATTCCTCTGATGCCAGCACCTGCCGCCCCCACTCCTGCCTGCTCTCTCCTGGGGGCTTCAAGGCCATGCGCAGACCACCAGTCCATTCACCGGCCTCCACTCAGGCAGCATCCCTACCCCTCCCTCCACACCAAGCTCCCTGCTCACAGGACCCCGATGGAGCATGCTCAGCACCCCTACACGCTCTCCAATATGCATCCGCTGGACGCTAACAGTGACCCAAAGACCCCCTGGGTGCCCGGGAGAGCTCAGGGCACTCGCGGCGGGGCAACTTTCACAGTGACGCCACGCTACTTCTGTCTCCCGCCGCACTGGCGCCTGCGCTGACAGGACAGAACCGAGGGCCAGTCGAAGCAGAAGCGCCGCGTGCGCGTCCTCAGGCTGCTCCTCGCCACAGCAACTCGCGGTTTCACAGGCGTCAATTCACTCGAGAACGTGCTGCATGAACTGATATATGCTGCTGCATCTCCCCGAGCAGACGCCGCTTCAGCTTTCTGCGTGAGGCAGCAGGAAGCACCCACGGCGAGGCGCTGGTCCAGGAGGCGCCGTGCGCCGAGCGGAGCCGCGAGGGGAGCGCGGCCACAGCCTCATCTGCAGAGCGGCCACAGACACCCAGTCACTCGGCCAGGCACCAAGCGACGGGCCTCGGACGTGGACCACGTGGGCAGTTACTTCAAAAGAAACAACTAACTGGGCTTGCGTCCAGAGCACAGCTCCAGCTTTGGGGCAAAAAATTTAATTTTGTAAAACCTGGAGCTGACAGCATGAAACTGATAAACTCCCAACACCCTCTGGAGGCAACAAGACTGCGAGCGCTTCTGCCTTCGCCTCGGACGTCACATGCCTCCTCCTTCTTACCCGGTTTCAAAAGTTAGACCTGAAGAAAAACAACAGCTAATGCTCTCTTTGGTTACTTTTGAGAAGTTGTAAATTCAAGCTGAACTTCTTTAAATTTTTTTTCCTTTTTGAAGATGAGAGTTTTTGGTTATGAGACCAAATCGGCACTAAGCGAAATAAACGGGCTGTGATTACTCCTTAAAAAAACTCTGATACTCCGAAGACGTCTGCTGAGACCCATGTTGACGCTGGGAAGGACTGAACATCTGTGACCCCCGGAAGTCCACTGTGGAAGGACTGTACTTGGAGACGAGGCCTTTGTGGAAACAGCCAAAGTTAACCGGGGCCTGAGGACAGGGCCGTGGTCCCACAGGATCAGCGTCCTGACAAGAAGGGACACCAGAGAGCTCACTCACTCCTCCACGTGAGGACATGGCGAGGAGACGCCGCCGTAAGCCCAGAAGGCGGCCCTCACCAGAACATCCCTGTGGACCCTGATCTGCGACTTCCAGCCCCAGAACTGGGAGAAAATACATTTCTGTTGTTCGTGGTCTCAGTAAACGTGTCTTTCAGATGTTATACTGTGACCTCCATCGACACTGGAAGGCCCCCGGCTGAGGGAGCCAGCTCTGCACACATCTCACGGGTGCGGAAGGGGACCGCACTCCCAGCTCAGGACCAGCGGATGCGAACAAGCCAGAAAGCACAGACAGCTTACTGGACACGGCCGCAGAAGCCGCCCTGCACCGACCCTCCACAAACACCCACCTGCTGAGTGGCAGTGCAGCATCAAAGAACAGCCACAACTCTCTGCAGGCGGCTAAGCCCTTCCTTCTCCAAGAACAGCCCCGTGAGGCGGGACTTGTGCTTCAACCACAAGAACCCCGCAACACACCGACAGCTGCCTCCAAGGACGGCAGCGGGGCTCTCGAATCCGCTTCTGCATTCAGACGTTTACAAAACATAAAACGATTCCACTCGTCCTTCTTTTTTTGGAAAAGTTATTTTTTCATTTTCATATAAATATCTTATTTCTATTCACAATGGGTTCACTGTATAACCTACGTAAACAAAGCTTCTTGAGACCTTCAACAATCTTCAAGAGCATGAAGAGGGTGCTGAGGCCGCAAAGCTTGAGACCAGTGGTTTAACGTCTAGCCCCAACTGGTCTGGAGCCCCCACGCCCTGAGAAGGCCCAGGACCAGGTCTGGCCCGTCACCCGTGGCCTCAGCTCCAAGCACAGTGCTGGGCTCTGCGACACGTGCAGGCAGCACCTGTCACTGTGGAATCTGACTCGCCCAGAGACAAATCTGGCCAAATGAAGAAACCATGAACTTGCCAGGATGGCTCCGCCCACCAGGGTTAGATACCTGGGAGATGAAGTCCTTCTCCAGCTCCTCCTCCGGCTTCTCCGGGTCGCTCGCGGCCTCTGTGCACTCCTCCTGGAGGCCGTAGTTCTGGGACAGGATCTCTGCGAGGCTGAACTGATGGTCTGCAGAGCCCATGGACACCACTGCGGAGGAGACCCCAGCCTGTGTGAGCACCTTAGCTGCAGCCCAAACACCGTGCGGAGACTGAGGACGGCTGGGGCAGAGGAAGCCATGGTGGGCCAGCTGTCACCAGGGACGAAGCCCCCAGTGTGTGGCCAAGTGTGCACAGGTGTACATGCATACATGTGCGAGAGGCTGTACAGGCATACATGTGTGTGGCTGTGTGTGCCTGCATGCCTGTGCGTGTGTGTACACATGTGTATTATGCACATGTGTGCGGCCATGCAAGCACATGAGGCTGTTTGTACACTTGTATATGGGACTGTCTGGCTGTGTGCATGTGTGAGGCCGTGTGTGCATGCACTTGTGTGCGTGTGAGGCTTGTGTGTGTGCACGAGACCATGTGCGCACAAGCATGCAGTGGTCCGTGCATGAAGAGTGGCCAGCATGCTCCATCCACCACACGGGCACTCCTGGCAGTGACTGACGGAAGAGCACACCTGGCTGAGGCACACGGGTGCTGGGAAGGGTTGGGGATGTGTCTGCTGGGATGCTTGGGATCCCTGCCCACAGACGCCTGCAGGGTTTTGGGAGACAGCGAGTGGACTACAGAGGTGAGCACCAGTCCAGCGGGGTGGAAAGAGCACGAGGCCCGAGACAGCCGGCTCCACGCCTGGCCCCTGGTGCCTGCAGGGCTGGGCGAGGCAGTGGGTGCTGCACACCCCTGAGAGTCCCTGCAGGGACAGGCACAGCACAAGGGACGCCAACAGGCGGCATGCAGTCAGCCTGACTAGTGTCAGCCCCTCCTCAGCCCCGGGCACAGCCCAGTGGGCAGGAGATGCTGCTAGATTTGGGGTTCTCCCAACAGAACCAGGATATGTTCACGACTCTCTCAAGCGGTCTTCAGTAACTCGAATTTTAAAAGAAACAACAAAAAAGGAAACCATCGGGGCTCAAACCACCCCAGGCGAGAGCCATGAAGGCCAAGGCTGGACCTCCCGTGGGTCTAAGGCACAGGGCAGGGGAGGGGCAGCTGCAGGCAGCCAGCCCAGGAACGGCAGGGCAGCCAAGGATGGGGCCCACTGAGACCCAGGCCACCTCCCTCAGAGCCACCCCAGCCCTCAGTCTCAGTGCAGGTGCCTACCAGGCCTGCTGGAGAACAGGGAGACAAGTCCCAGCCACTGCGCTCACACACCCTGGCCCTGGACTCTGCCCGCACGCTCGGTCCCTGGACTTTGCCCAAACACCCCAGCCCTAGACTCTGCCTGGACTCTGCCCGCACGCCCCGGCCCTGCGCACGCCCCGGCCCTGGACTCTGCCCACACACCCGGGCCCTAGACTCTGCCTGGACTCTGCCCGCACGCCCTGGCCCTGGGCTCTGCCTGCATGCCGTCCCTGGATTCTGGGGGCCAGTGCGCCATCTCTGGTGCCACCAGGCCAAGTGAGATTCTGTCTCTTACAACCGCAGCAGCCTGCGGGCCTGGGCAGGAGGAAGCAGGTCTGAGAAAGGTACCTGCTGTTGTCTGCAAGCCCGGCTCCCCAGGACACAGGCTGTGAGCGAGGCAGGAGGCCACACGAGGGCTCTGCCTCTCCAGCGAGGAGGCCTGTGGAGGAACAGAGGAGAGAGCTCAGAACCCGCTGTGGACACCACAGCAGGGCGCCTACCACCAAGCACGGGTCATAGCCTGGCTCCAGAGTGACCTCAGGAAATGGGGTATCATGAGCTGCCCCCAAGGGCTATAGAAGGGTCATCGAGTGTGACCAGCATGCGGTCACTGAGCAACTCCTCTTCTGCTCCTAAATCTAAGCATTCTGGAGCAAACGCGTGGAGAGAAGGCACCCTGGGGGAACGCGGACTGAGGGTGCAGCGACGTGGCTCACGCGCAGCTCTGGAACCGCGTGCCCTCATCTCCAGGTGGGGGACCCAGGGGGACTGTGACGAGCTGGCACAGCCGGCGACCAGCCGCGGTTCTCGCTGGCCCGGGACAGAGGGCCCCAGGCCCACACACAGCTCTCCGGCACACGCCCAACCAGCATTCACCGACAGCCATGCCTGACACCACAGCCACTTAACAGGGTCCCGGCCTCTAGGAACTTAGTCTTCAAAAGGCAAACAGATCCTGGAGGAATCTGGTGACCCCTCCAAAAGTAACCACAGAGCTACCAAATGATCCAGCAATTAATTCTACTCCAAGGCATATACCTGAGAGAACCGAAAACATACGTCCACACTGAACACGCACGTCCACAGCAGCACGATTCACAACGGCCAAAGGTGGAAACACCCAACGCCCATCAACGGGTGACAGAGCCACACACATGTCCACCCACACGCTGGAGCACGACGCAGCCATGAAGAGGAGTGAGGCCCTGACACGGCTGCACGTGGACGGAGCTGAACACACGACGCTCAGGGAGAGAAGCAGACACAGAAGGACACGCGGGGTGTGACCCCATTGACGGGAAACGTCCAGAACAGGCAGATCCACAGACAGAGAGCGCGCTCGGGGGTGCAGGGGCCGGGAAGGGGACGAGGGGTGATGCTGACGGGGACAGGGCTGCTTCTGGGGATGGAATGTTCTACAACCAGATAGTGGTAATTGTTTCAAAACTTTGTAAACATGCTAAAAACCACTGAATTAAACACCTCAAATGGGTATATTTTGTGCTATATAAACATACCTCGAATTTTTCAAAAAGGCAAACAAAGCATTATACCTGCTCCCATTATCACGATGTTCAAAAGTTTATAAGATAAAGATACTAGACTGATGTCTCCCACAAACCTAAGCACAGCCTCCTCAGCAGAACACTAGCAAACTGAGTCCAGCGCCGCACGGAGAAGACGGGACACTGCGGCCACCAGGGATGCACTGCAGGGACCCACTGCAGGGACGCAAGCCCATCTAACATCCTGCAGTCAAGGTGACACATCACATCAACAGAGTGACAAACAAAACCACACGGTCATCTCTGTAAATGAGGAAAAAGCACTTATCAACACCAGCCCCCTTTCAAGACAAAAACACCCCATAAACTAAGGACTGGAGGGAACTTCCTCACAGACAGAGGGCATGTCCCCAAACCCAAGCCAACGCGGTCCCTACGGGGAGGGGCTGGACGTTCCCCAGAGCAGAACAGGACAGCGACGGCCCTCTCACCATCTCTCCTCGGCACAGTCCTGGGGGCTCCAGTCAGGGCGGGAAGGGAAGCAACAGGAACACAAACAGGGAAAGGAGGAATAAAGTGGCCTCTTTCTCCAGATGAGATGATCCTGGCATAGAAGACAGCAAAGAACCCACTAAAAGCCATCTGAACGAATAAATGAGCCCAGCAAGGCTGCAGGACACAATATCAACACATAAAAATCAATTTTACTCTCACGCACCAAGAAGGAACGATCCAGGAAGGAGATTATGAAACATACACACATCCATTTACAACAGCATCAAAAAGAATAAAGTACTTAGGAATAAATTCAGCAAAAGTTCAAAACTTACACTCTGAAAGATACAAAACATGTTGAAAGAAATTAAAGACCTAAGTAAATGGAAAGACATCCTACAATGAGAGCTGAGAAGACGGCAGAAAGACGTCAACACTCCCCAGCAATCCACAGACTCAACGCACGCCCCTCAGAAGCCCGGTCGGCTTCTACGCAGAAACTGACAAACCGTTTCCACAAATCCCAGGGAAACTCAAGGCACTGAGAACCACCAAAACCACGCAGAAACACAGAAGACCACCACCAGACCTCGAAATTACCACAGAGCCAGCCCTGACGGCCTAGTGGTTAAGGTTCGGCGCTCTCACCGCTTCGGTGGCCCGAGTGCGCTGCCTGGTCGTGGAACCAGACCACTCGTCCGTCAGCAGCCTGCTGGGGCGGGGGCTCACGCAGGACTGGCAGGACTCACAAGTGGCATATGCAACCACGCACTGGGGCTTTAGGGAAGAAAAAAACTACTGCAAAGCCACAGTAATCCAAACAGTGTGGCACTGACATAAAGCTAAACATTTACAGCAAAGAACAGAACTGAAAGTCCAGGGGAAAAACCCACACCTTTACAGTCTAGTGAATTTCAACAAAGGTGACAGACAACCCAGTGGGGAATGACCCATCTTTTCAACGAGTGGTGCTGGGAGAACTGGAGACCTACCTCACACCATATGCTAAAATCAACCCAAAACGGACCAAAGACCTGACACATAAGAGCTAAAGCTATAAAACTATAAATCTCTTAGAAAAAAACACAGCAATAGATCTTTGTTACGGTGGACGAGGCAAGTTTCCTAGATTAGACACCAAAAACATAGCAATAAAATATAGATAAACTACACTTCAGCAAAATAAAACAGTTTTGAAAGAACACTATCAAGAAAGTGAAAAGACAACTCACAGAATGGAAGAAGACATTTGCAAATCACAGGGCTGGAAAGGGTCTCCTCCTTAGAAGAAAGAGCTCTTACAACTCACTGATAAAAAGGTAACCCAACGTAAAAACGGGCAAAGCATCTGAATAGACATTCCTCCAAAGAGACGCACAAACACAGCATGTGATAAACTGCTCAACGTCCAGGAGGCACAAGGAGACGGCACTTCACCCTCACAGAACGGCCTCCCAGACCATAGCAAGGGCTGGAGAGGGCCCGGGCCGTGGAGCAGCACAGCAAGGGCTGGCAGACGCGGGCGCCCCGGGGGCACGTACAATGGAGCAGCCCATAGCAAGGGCTGGGCAGACGCGGGCGCCCCGGGCGACGTACAATGGAGCAGCCCATAGCAAGGGCTGGGCAGACGCGGGCGCCCCGGGCACGTACAATGGAGCAGCCCATAGCAAGGGCTGGGCAGACGCGGGCGCCCCGGGCACGTACAATGGAGCAGCCACTGTGGAAAATGGTCCAGCAATTCCTCCAAAAGCCACACGCAGCATTCCCGTCCCACCCAGCAATTTCCCTCCTCGGCAGACACCGAAGGGGCCCAGAGTAAGCCACCCCAAAATACGCCGCTCCAGCACAAGCACTGTTTTGAGCCGAAGGCATCTGAGAAAAGCAGACACTGGATGAGCCCCCCGGGCCCCCATCCGCATGAAAGCCAACCGCAAACTCATGAGGGGGCCCCGTTCCCACAGAGGAAAGCGGCACCACCTCACCCCGGGGACCAGCCGGCACAAACAGGCCCTGCTAGCCAGCCCCCATGCCGACCTGCCCACGCCCGCCTCCTGGAAACTCGGCCCTCGTCCTCTGCCGCATCCTCCTCTGCAGGCCTAGCACCCTCTTATCAGGACTCTGGAGAAGCCCCAGTTCCACCTGCCCTTCGGCTTACTCATCGCTGAGCTCATAAACTCAGCGTGTTTCGCACTCGTGAATCTGTCTTTCGTCCGTCTAAACCACAGGGCCAGAGCCAGAGAACCCAGGAGGGAAGAGGGAAAAGCAAGCTTCTCCTCCCCTCCAACACTCGGAGGGAAGAACACACACGTCCACACTGAAAGCTGCACACGAGGGTTCACAGCAGGATCACTCGCCAAAGCCAAGGTGGGAAGAACCCTCACGTCCACCAGCTGCGAAAAGACGAACCAAGACACGGTCATGAAAAGGAGCGGGGCACGGACACAGCTACACGTGGACGGACCTGAACACATGACGCTCAGGGAAAGAAACAGACACAGAAGGACACACAGTGTGTGACGCCATTGACGTGAAACGTCCAGAACAGGCAGATCCACAGACAGAGAGCAGGCTCGTGGGGGCCAGGGGCTGGGGGGGGGGGGGGGGGGGGGTGATGACTAAGGATGCAAGGTTTCTTTTGGGGCAGTGAATGTTCTGAAATTGACTGGTGATGGGGGTACACTCTGTGAATATAGTAAAAACCATTGAATTGTACACATTAAAATGACAGAATCGTACGCTATGTGAATGATACCTCAGTAAAGCTGTTTCCCAAAAAACAAATTAGACTATTTAATACAATAAAGTTTAAAAATTTAGAAAGTAAAGTTCTTCCTCACTGGGTCCTCAGGAAAACCTCAAAAGGTTGTATAATCATTTTCTTCATAAGAGGAACAAGGGAATCGAACCTCAGAGAAGTCAAGTCACTCACCCAAGCTCACACAGCAAGTAAGCAGCACAACTATAGACGCAAACTCAGGCTCTGTGGCTCCAAAACCCTTCACAGCCCATGAGCCCACGTGGAGCATAAGTGAAAGTACACGCACAGAAAGCAAAGCTGCCAGAGAGCTGGGAGGCGAAGCTGAACCTGGGCACTGCAGTGCGCGGGCGGAGGCTGGCAAGGACCAGGTGGAGAGACGAGGACCAAGCCTGACGGGGGAGGAGGCACTGGGTGGGTGGCCTCGCCAAGTGGGGAGTGTCACCACCCCACAGCTTTAGGCAGCTGAGCCCCGTGAGGCAGGAGGCTAGGAACGCAGAGACAGAAAAGGGGCCAGCAGCCAGGTGGGGCCGGGGCAGCAGGGCCTGGAAGCGGGCAAGGAGTGCAGGGCACCTGGTGGCCGTGGAGCATCTCGCGCCCCGTGCTTGGGGTCAGCCCGTGGCCCAGCAGAGGTGCCCTTACCTCCTTCCAGGAAACAGGAGGCTGCCATCAGCACGCAGGCAGCCCTGCAGAGCCACCACGAGTGCGGCCCCAGGGCCAGTGCCCCAAAACTCCTCTGAAATCGCGTGGCCCTCCAGGACCCTCTCTGGGATCCCTCTCCCACCCCAACCGGCTTTCCGTCTCCTGCAATCCGTGGGGAAACCAAGCGAGCCAGACTCGGGAGCTTGTCTGTCAGCGCGGCCTTGGGGAGGCGGTCTGCGGCCTGGCAGGGTCTCTGGCTGGGGCCCTCGCCTGCCCTGCTGTCTGAACAGGAGGTGTGCAGATGAGCGGAGAGCAGCGGGGTACGGCACAAAGGGCAGCGACAGGGCAGCATCTCCCAGGAGGCTCCGAGCAGCCTGCTCCCACGGGGCCTAGGACCCCCAAGTTCATTTCCAGGCGACTCTGAGTTCCTCAACACCGACCCGGGAACAGACTTCACAGATTCCCCCTCCCCAGCCCGAACATTGACTTCCAGGAGCGAGCCCACTCTCAGCGTGGGCTTCCCAGGGGTTCTCCTTCCACTTGTTCAGAACACTCAGATGTTTCCATCAGTCAGAGCCCTCCGTTGTGCAGAGGGGACAAAGGAGAAATGGGGAGCTGGCTGAGGGCATCCTGGGAAGACGAGTCAGGGCAGGAGTCAAAGGAAAGAAAGCAATGTTCTGGAGACCAGGTCCCAGCAGACAGGCCCAGGCTTGGGGTCCAGTCAGGCCTTGCGAGTGGCGGCGGCAGCAAGCTCCTCAGTGGGAGCTGCCCGTCCTATCTCGGGTGGGCCTCACCTCTCAGGCGCAGAGGTCGCCCCCAGATGAACACAGAGGCAGGAGTCCTCGCCCGGGGGCAGCGTCGGACTCCTGCCCACCAGCCTCCCGAGCTCAGCCCCTAAGGACGCCAGGCAGTTCCACTGTCCAGATGCCCGCACCCATAACCCAACCCCAGGCTCTGGGTGAGCAGACAGGCCTACTTTCAAGAGGCGGGGTCCTGCACCCCCTCCCTGGCATCCAGCTGGACCTGTGACTAGTGGGAGGGACTCCACGTGATGCCCAGGGCTGTCACAAAGTGCAGCTCAGCATCCCCCTGGGGTCTGCTGGGACTGTCACTCCCGGAACCCAGCTGCCATGCTGCGAGGAAGCCCAAGCCACAGGGAGAAGCCTGTGCAGGTGTCCCAGCCAGCATCAACAGCCACACCTGGGCCAGGAGGCGCTTCTCCCCGGTGGCCCCAGCCCCTGCCACTAGGTGACCACATGAGGACCCCAAGAGAAAACTGCCCGGCTGAGCACAGTCAACCCAAGAACCAGCAGAGAAGAAAGAAACGGCTGCTGTTTCAAGACGCCGAGTTTCACAGTGACTCCCGATGCAGCGGCATCTCCGCCACACCCAGCTGAGGCGCGTGGCCCTGCTGGACGGCCCAGCACTTCCCTCCTCCACGCGACTAACGTCGACCGCGAACCTGCTCTGGGCCAGGCGAGGCGGCAGGTCAATCGAGAAACAGGTTCCGCCTGTCTCCACCCACACGAGTCACCAGTCTGGCTGGGGACGCAGACAACAACAAGTGGACACGGACGGTACTGAGCGGACAAGGTGAGATGGGGAGCAGCCCAGTCCCCCCAAGGGTGCAGAGGGCACCAGGAAGCAGCAGGGGCCCGGGGGGCTGGGGCGGGCAGGGGGAGACCCTCGGGACCACACCACCGGCAGGGGGTCACGGCAAGGAGATGCGCTTTATCCTAAGGACAGCGGAGAGCCACGTCTTCTGAGCAGACAGACAGAGTGCCCAGCTTTTCCAAAGACTGACCTGGCGTCCGTCTTCTCTCGGGTGCTGATGGCTATTTTGGCGACGACAAACAGCACGCAGATGACACCGAACGCGCAATGCCAGCTTAGAAGCGCCCTTTAAGCTGAGCCCGCTGGTCATCAGCGATCTTACAAGGCTCAGCTTCTCCGTGAAGTCACAACCAAGATTTCACGAAGCCTCGCAGCTCTTCCTATTCAGAGACGAGGACACCACGCTCGGAAACGTCCAGCGACCTGCCCAAGGTCACGCAGAGTGATGGCTCCAGAGCCGCAACAGGTCTGCGGGCAGAGGCTGGCGGCGGCCTCGCATCTGGCCTCTGCGCACGCGTTGGTCCGTCACTGACCAGCCTCTCAGAGCCCTTAGGACAGGCATGGCCAGGTCTCTGCTCCCCGTGAGACCCTCGGGGCCTCGAAGGGAGCGTGGCCCACAGGCTCTCTCTCAGGAAATCAACTGGATTTACTCCCAGGACCCAACCCCAAACCCTCAACAGGGGTGACCAGGGCACCCCGTGCCTGGCTGCCGCGGGGGTTCTAGGGGCTCAGCGCCACGCAAGACAGGGTCAACAGACAAGCCTGGCAGCCCTCAGGGAGGCTGGGTGAGGCGTCCACCCGTCCATCTGTGACACACAGCTCCCTGCCAGGCTGAGTGCTGCCCAGAGGCCACCAAGCGCCCAAGAAGGCACCTGTGCCCTGAGCCAGGAGCACACACTGACACACACACTGACCGTCACGCCCTGCTGGGCCATCAGGAGACCTGGGTCCTGCCTCCCACCCCCGAAGCCAACCACCACTGAAGCCTCAGTTTCCCTCAATGTCCCCTAAAAGAGCAGGGCCAACTCTAGGAGAAGCCTCTGGATCCAGCCACCCAGCATAAGGCGGGAACTGGCTGGTGAGGTCTGGCCTCGCACCCAGGGGCCCACACCCCCTGTGGCGCCCGTGCAGGGCCCGCTGCTGCCCCCGAGGAGGTGACTGGTGGGAGAGAGGGGCAGGGCCGCCCTGCACACACCTACCCATGCTATGCTCAGGCCCAAACTCTGGACGCAGCCCGCGACGAGGCCAAATATCGCGGGAACCTGCTGCGCCTCCCTGGGTGGGGACCTTCTCCTGTGGCCTCAGGGGCCTCACCCACTGGACGAGGATCACTCACTGAGCCCGGGGACCGGTTTGGCGACCCCAGACTGAACGGTGGGCACTAAGAGCCGGTTCACAGAGCCCCTGGCACGTGCATCGCCTGCCTCACCCCCACTGGGCCCTGGAGGTGAAAGCAGGTCCGCGCTCTGATCCAACGTCCCAAAGTCAGAAAGCCCTCGAAGTGAAAACTTTCACCCCCCGGCCGGACCTGGCGTGAAGCTACTCGGCGCCTGTCTGCCCCGGACGGTCCCGGGCGCGTGGGATCGGGCATCGTAGCCCCAAACCCGCGGGTCCTCCGCTGGGAAAACTCCGACTCCCAGAACTCAGCGGCCCCGGGGTTTCGGGTAAGGGGCCTTGGGCGCGATCGCGGACGGAGAAGTCACTTCCAGCGCCGCGAAGGCCGGTCCGCCTCCCCGGGCCCAGAGCCCCGCGCCGCCGGGTCCGAGTTCGAATCCGCCGGGGGGCGACCCCGCTGCACGGGGCGCGCGCGGGCCGCGGGGTCCACCGGGGGGCCGGAGGAGGGGCGGCCGGCCGGAGAGGCGCCGGGCGAAGTTGCGGGACCGGGTGGCCGGCGCCGGGGCCGGGGTCGGGGCGCCCTCACCCCGCCCGCCCCCAGGCCCCCGCCCGCGCCCGTCCGCCCGCGCATGCGCGCCGCGGCCCGCGATGTGGCGGCGGGAGGGCCGGGGGCCGCCGCGGAGCCCGCGCCTCAGCTCCCCCGGCGCGGCGCCGGCCCGGCCTCTCCCGCCGCCACATCGCGGGCCGACACGGCCGGGCGGGCGGGGGCGCGGGCGGGGCGGACGCCGGCTCCCCCGGCCCGCTCACTCACCTCCGCCATGGCCGTGTGTGCGCGGGAGGTGGCGGCCGGCCGGGAGCCCGGATGCGGGGCCGCGCGCTCATTGGCTGCGGCGCCGGGGGCGGGGGGGGGGGGCGGGGCCTCGGGGGGCGGGGCCGGCGGGCGCGTAGTAGGTGCGCGGGCGGGCGGGGATGGAGGCGCCACCGCGGACCACTGCCCAGGGGGCGGCTGCGGTCGGTGGGAATCCGGCGCCTGGTAGCCGCCCCTGCGCGGGGTACGCCGGTCCGGTTCCTCCTCTCAGTCCCGTGGCCGATGGCATTAGTACCCCCTGTTACAGATGAGGAAACTGAGGCCCGACGGACATAAGTGATAGAGCCGCGATCGAAGGTTCCGGAACTAAAGCGTGGTTCTGGAACTTTCTGCACTTCACCAGTGACGATGGATGTAGGGGGCCCAGGAGTGGGCTGGGGCGCTTGGACAATGCGCCTTGAGACACGCGGCCGCCCTGGACTCGGGGCTGCCCACCGCCGGGCGGCAGGAGGGTGGGCGCGAACCCAGGCCGCTTGGCTCTCAGGGTCGTTGTTCTTAGTCAGTTAAGTGTGTATGGACCGGTGCTGTTCTGAACCAGTGCGGGCGCTGGAGGACGATTTGAACAACAGTCCCAACGGGGATTCGCCACATTTTAAGTTTCAGGCTCACAAGTGCTAGGAGCGCGGGGCAGAAGGTGCAGAGAGCGAGCAGGAGGCAGCGCGGCCCAGCAGGACTAAGGCGGCGGCTGGGAACGAGTTGGGACGGAGACGCCACCAGCATCCCTGAGGGATTGAGGGCGGGGAGAGCGTCGGCCCTGATTGCTGGCTTGCACAAATTGGAGGTGGGGCGGGTGGGGGGGGGGGGTGCCTGCTGAGGCCGGGAGGAATGGATCTGGGGAGTCGGGGGACTCCCGGCCCCTTTCCTTTACTGGCTGGCAGCCACCCGGATGCTGAGAAGGGCACCATGTTTCACGGTCGGTAGGAAAGTGTTGCCCCAGCTCCTGAGACCTGCCAGCGGGATGGAGCCGCACCCCTGCCCTCCATGGTCACATCAGTCAGTGAGCCCCCACTCCTGGTGTTGGCTTACACCGTTTCAATTGGGGGTTCAGGCCCTTGTGGCAGAGTCCTCACTGACATAGGGAACAGTTGGTCATTCATTCATTCAATTAATCAATCAATGTCGCCACAGCCCTTCCTGGGTGCTGGGCAGCCAGGGGTCCAGGGAGGCTAAGAGATGCATGAGCAGCTATGAAGAGAGGGGGGCTCTGTGTCCTAACAAGTGGCAGCAACTGAGCAAAAGGGCCTGAGTCCTGGGGAGCCAGAAAGCCTCCTGGGAGAGAAGTTTGACAAGAACCTCCCAATGCATGTGAAATGCGGGGAGAAGGGGATTCCGACGAGGAGAAGGATGTATCCAAGGTCTGAAGGTCTCTCCTCACAGACTGATCCTCAGTTAGAGAGGAGAAACGAAGCAGCCTTTCAGCCAAGTGTCAAAAATTAACGTCACTAGTGAGGGGCGGTGCCCTGAGGAGGACACTGCGTCACCTAATCTGGCCGGAAATGCACAACCTGCATCTGAGGAAACTTCAGACAAGCCTCAGAGAAGGAATACTCTCTTAGACAAACCAAAAGAAAGGATTGTGCTCTTCAAAACTGTTGATGCCATAAAAGACTGACCCGTGGACACCTTCCAGACACAACAGCTAAACGTGAGACCTGGTCCTGGGCTGGATCCGAGGCTCAGCCGAGAAAATTGAAATTCAGCTGTAAACTATTACATCAATGTGAAGTTTACTGAAGTCAGTAACTGTTCTGTGGTTATGTAAGAGAAGATTCTTATTCTCAGAAAATTCACACCGAAGTATTTAGGGGTTACTATAGGCTGAATGTATGTGTACCCCGAAAATCCATTTATTGAAACCTAATGGTCCCAACGTGATGGTATCAGGAGGTGGGACTGTGGGAGGTGATTAGGATGCGGGGGAAGAGGCCTCATGAATGGGATCAGTACCCTCATGGCAGGGGCCCCAGAGAGCGCCCTGCCCCTTCTGCCACGTGAGGACAGCTAGAAGGTGCCGACTGGGAACCAGCAAGCGGCCCCAAGTCACCAGACTCCAAATCCGCCAGGACCTCAATCTGGACTTCCAGCCTCCAGACTAAGAAATACATTTCTGTTGTTTATAAGCCACATGGTCTATGGCAGTTTGTTAAAGCAGCCTAAACGAACTGAGACAGAGTAAGTGCCATGAAGTGTGCAACTTACCCTTAGGTAGTTCAGAAGAGTGTATTTTATATCTATAGAGTCCACGGGGAGAGAGAGAGAAACACAGACACAGAGAGAGACAGAGAGAGAGGGTGCAATGATAAGCCGTGCGGTGAAATGTTAATAGCTGAATCTGGGGGAGAGTGTGGATACTTTTTTTACTATACGTATTCTTGCAATTATTCTGTAAACCTGAATGATTTTCAAATAAAAAGTAAAAGAAAGAAAGCTAAGAAAATAAAAAGCAGTGTCTGCACTGAGCCGTAGGAGGAAAGGAGGGGCTGCAGCAGGGGCAGCGAGGGGGCGCGGAGACTCCGGGGAGCACGGTGTTCGTGGGACCGCGACGGAGCCAGTCCCCCCATCGGGCTCTCTGAGCCCAGTTTTGACAGGAAGCCAACAGCACCGGTGGGCTGACAGAGCATCAACCCCTCAGCGTGGGGGCCTGAGTCACCCACCAGGGGAGCTTGGAGACCAGCCTCGAGGGTGTCTGAGAGGGTGTGGCGGAGCCCAGGATGGTGGCCTCAGCTCCTAGGCAGCAGTGGGGGGCTGTAGTTCATCCCGCTCAGCTTCTCCTTGCGCGTTCCCCCCGAGGACGTGTTTCCAGAGCACACCATGGAGGCGAGCGGGTCAGGGGTGGACCGTAGTGGCTGCCCAGCTGCTGGGAACCTCGTTGGCCGGTGGCTCTCAGCCCCGTCTGCCTTTTGCTGCAGAGGTCCGCCTCGCCCAGTGTCGCCCTCCCTCACGGAGGCTGCGAGCACCCGGGGGTGGTCGTGCAGATGTGTGAACACCCAGCACCTGTGACCACAGGGGACGATGGTCAGGCTCCAGAGCTCCCCACGGGATCAGCCGAGACGGCGGTCACAACTCACTTTCCCTCCGTCCGGTCCCACTTCCTTCACGGCCCGCGGGGCTGACCGCAAGGGGATCCCCAGAAATCCTCCTGCCCCGTAACCTCTGTCCCAGACTCTGTTTGCCGGGGATGCCACCTCTGACACAAAGCATGAGTCATATTTTGAAAGGTTCAAAAAGCAGGCAGAAGAAGGAATACAAGTTGAAAGTGTAACAAATATGATGAACTAAGACCAAATATTTGTGCGATCAGGAGATGCAGAAAGGCAAAACTCAGAGGGACTCTCAGAGCGGACCGCAGGGCGAACGCCAACCACGCACTGTGCACGAGGGACCAGCGAAGGCAGAGCGAAGGACGCGGAGCCCTCCGCCCACACACCTTCCCGTCTACCAGTGTTCTGGAAAGTTCAGCCTATGGCAGAGACAGAGCCGCGGTGCCAGGGCTGGGGATGGAGCACCGGCTGACGGCAGAGCCGCTGGGGGTTGGGAGCAAGGACTCGTGTGTCTGTGTTGTGGTGCTGGTTACACACCCGCGCCTGTGTCCGTGCTGCAGAGTCACACCAGAAAAAGCGTAAATTCTCCGTGTTGTATCTCAATAAAGCCTGCCACAACAGCACTTGTGCCACGCGGTGCACACACTTCTTTATTAACTCCTTTAGTCACGAGATAATAATTAAACATAGACTAAAGTTGAAGTTTTGTATTGCGGTCATATTGGCTTATAACATTGTGTAAATTAAATTTCAGGTGTGCATTATTATATTTCAGTTTCTGTGTAGACTGCGTCGCGTTCACCACCAGTAGTCTAATTTTTATCTGTCGGCATACGTATGTGCCCGTTACCCCTTTGGCCCACCCCAGTCCCCTTCCCCTCTGGTCACCGCTGAGCTGTTCTCCTCAGCTGTGTGCTCATCTTC